ATTACACATGGGAAACGTGACATTGATAAATATTCTATAATTACTCATGGGAATCTCGACAATTGATATACATTGTATAATTACACATGGGAAACGTGATATTGATATACATTATATAATTACACATGTGAAACGTGATATTGATATACATTGTATAATTACACATGTGAAACGTGATATTGATATTCGTTATATAATTACACATGGGAAACGTGACATTGATAAAAATTGTATAATTACACATGGGAAACGTGATATTGATATGCATTGTATAATTACACATTGGAAACGTGACATTGATATACATTGTAAAATTACACATGGGAAACATTACATTGATATACATTGTATAATTAAACATGGGAAACGTGACATTGATACATCATTGTAGAATTACACATGGGAAACGTGACATTGATATACATTGTATAATTACTAATGGGAAACGTGACATTGATATACATTGCATAATTACACATGGGAAACGTGACATTGATATACATTGTATAATAACACATGGGAAACATTACATTGATATACATTGTATAGTTACACATGGGAAACATTACATTGATATACATTGTATAGTTACACATGGGAAACATTACATTGATATACATTGTATAATTACACATGGGAAACTTGACATTGATACATCATTGTAGAATTACACATGGGAAACGTGACATTGATAAACATTGTATAATTACACATGGGAAACGTGATATTGATATACATTATATAATTACACATGGGAAACGTGACATTGATATACATTGTAAAATTACACATGGGAAACGTGACATTGATATACACTGTATACTTACACATGGGAAACGTGACATTGATATACATTGTATAATTACTCATGGGAAACGTGACATTGATATCCATTGTAAAATTACACATGGGAAACGTGACATTGGTATACATTGTAAAATTACACATGGGAAACGTGACATTGATATAATTACACATGGGAAACGAGATATTGATATACATTGTATAATTACACATTGGAAACGTGACATTGATATACATTGTCTAATTACAAATGGGAAACGTGACATTGATATACATTGTCTAATTACACATGGGAAACGTGACATTGATTTACATTGTAAAATTACACATGGGAAACGTGACATTGATATACATTGTCTAATTACACATGGGAAACGTGACATTGATATACATTGTATAATTACACATGGGAAACGTAAAATTGATACATCATTGTATAATTACACATGGGAAACGTGACATTGATAAATCATTAAAACCTGAAAAGAAAACCATGCCTTGTGGGACTATTATGAGAAGTGATAAAGCTGGAATAAACAAGATACACTCAACAACATTGTTCTCGGTGTAACACTTCAGCGGGCCAGACCGAGATTCCCACCCTGGACGTCATGTTGATATGATATTACTCGTTTTCAATGTGTCTCATTCATTATCACAGCCATAGGGTTGCAGGGTTGGGGCCCCTGAGGTTCCACACAGTAGATATACAGTACATATCATCATATTATGTTCAAAACATTTAGTTAACACAACTCAATTCTTATAGCATATCACATATCAACACGAACAAAGACAAATGGGATTTATGACATATTGACAATTTCAGGATAAGAACTAATTAATCTTTCATTAATCAGTGAAATGTTGATCAAAAGAATTATTTGAAATATCATTCATGTATAGGCGAACAACTCCAATGAGCCGATCATTTTACTCTGAAACAAATAATAACTACATGTGTTCGCAAAGATACATCAGTACATGTTAATATCTACACTGAATAACCATCCGTCACCCGGCATACATTATAGGCTTATGTAGCCCGAGTGTCAATAGCCACTACGTTTTACAATTAAACTCTCAACACTTCACATACTTTCAGTGAGTTTTGAACAATTTATAAACTGGCGTTGACGAGTCTCAATCTCATTTTTACACAGAGGACATACCTTATTGTCAAATTTACGAATCATTTTCAAATGGAATTATGAGCAACACATTAATGTAATTCTTCAATATCATAAGACGAATATTAACACATAATAAGACTGACAAAATTGCTTCCAAGTTCTGGCTGAGATAGTACTCACCAAGGGGTCTGTAACCTTCGGACGTTTGAATCTTTCTCGTAAACAACACAAATAAAGAGTACATATTGTTTTAGAAAACATGTGTACTCTACCACCATTATCATTCTTAAAAAAGACTAAAAGGTTTCGACTCTGTTAGGCATTCTTTGAACTTGCAGGGATGCAACTCATGACATTATTGATATTACTAATCCACTCGTGAACAATCTCAGCAATAGCAACAACCATAGGGAAATTTGGCTTTTCTTCAATGATAAGATTTTTTTTTATTTGAATATTCAAGCCTTTGTAAAAGTTGATTCACCATTCTTTAGAATTCTATGATTTAAAACATAGGCTGTTCATAGACAAACTATGTGTCCTCATCAGTAAGTTTTATTTCATTCTCCTCCCGGAACGTTTTCTAGGATTTCACATTTTCGAATTATACACTTGGTAAAAAACGTCTGTTTCATAAAATATATTTAAACTTCCTGAATAATGCCTCCAACTATGGAATCACCTCTGGAGATATTTTAGAAACATTTACCTGTCACGATCACCTAATTACCCATAATAATTAAAGAGACTCCATCATTCAAGAACATCTAGTGAATGATATGGAAAAGCTAAAATTATCTGGAACTTCCAACATTTTTTGAGGGCAGGACAAAAATGATGAGACTCCCTAGTGTGATCACCCTCGTCATCGCCCTATGTAAACAAGGTGACACCCCAGTGTGATTGCCCTCGTCATCACTCTATGTAAACAAGGTGACACCCCAGCGTGATTGCCCTCGTCATCACTCTATGTAAACAAGGTGATACCCCAGTGTGATTGCCCTCGTCATCACTCTATGTAAACAAGGTGACCCCCCAGTGTGATTGCCCTCGTCATCACTCTATGTAAACAAGGTGACACCCCAGTGTGATTGCCCTCGTCATCACTCTATGTTAATAAGGTGACTCCTCAGCGAATCAACCTCGTTATCACCAAATATTAACAAGGTGATTCCTCAGTGTGATCACCCTCGTTATCACCCAATATTAACAAGGTGACTCCTCAGTGTTATCACCATTGTCATCACCAAATATTAACAAGGTGACTCTTTAGTGTGATGTCACTAGTCATCATTCTATGATAACAAGGTGAAATTCTAGTTTGATCACCATTGTCTTCACCATATGTTAACAAGGTGATTCCTCAGTGTGATCTACTTGTCATTGCCCTATGCTAACAAGATGACTACTCAGTGTGATCACTCTCGTCAGCACCCTATGGTAGCAGTATACAGTAGAGGGTTGTGGCCATGGGTGATATTTTTGTTAAATGGCTAACCCCTGTATAATGATATGTAAAAAAATTATAAAAATAAAACTGTACTAAAATTGGTATAAGCATGATGAAGTGGGCTATGTGAGCTTCACATTTGTAAAAAAGAAAGAAGATTTTTTTGGTTCGAGAATAAAATTTTGGCCATAATCCGAAAGGGTGCGTACACATGAAAAGCTAGCTTTACAGGAGGTAAAATTTTGACAACAGCACACGACGCAAAATTGCAAAAAATCAAGTTTTACAACTTTACTGGGACCCAGATAATTCTGCAACCAGGTAGGTAATCTTTAATTTCAGACAGAGCTTAGGAAAAAAATTACTAGTTGCGGGGGTCAAATTTTGGGTTAAAAATAGCAATTTTTGGCATTTTTTGGTAATTTTTGATGTGGTAACCATGGTTTTCACACAAGTGACATACATAGAAAAAAGAGGTTTATACACTTCTCAGTACTTTATATGTATTGTAAATGTAATGCAGTTTACAAATATATAAACATGTATACATGTGTTGTGTAGGGTAAATCCGCTGTGTTTACATTTCCTCGACATGTGCCTTGTTTATCAGAGTCGGGCCATTTCTACTGTATACTGCTACCTATGTTAAAAAGGTGACTCCTCAACGGATCAATCTCGTTATACCTCAATATTAACAAAAGGATTCCCCTGTGTTATCATCCTCGTTTATACCCTATGTAAACAAGGTGACTCCCCAGATAACCCTCGTCATCGACCTATGTAAACAAAGTGACTTTTCAGTGTGATCACCCTCGTCATCACTCTATGTTAACAAGATGACTCCAAAGTGTGATCAACCTCGTCATCACTCTATGTTAACACGGCGAAGTTCCAGTCTGATAACCCTCGTCTTTACTCTATGTTAACAAGATGACTCCAAAGTGTAATCACCCTCGTCATCGCTCTATGTTAACAAGGTGGCTCCTCAGTGTGATCACCCTCGCCATTGACCTATGTTAACAAGATGACTCCAAAGTGTGATCACCCTCGTCATCACTCTATGTTAATAAGGTGACTCCTCAGCGGATCACCCTCGTTATCACCAAATATTAACAAGGTGATTCCTCAGTGTGATCACCCTCGTTATCAACCAATATTAAACAGGTGAATCATCAGTGTGATCATCCTCGTCATCATTCTATGTTAATAAGGTGATTCCTCAGTGTGATCACCCTCGTCATCACCATATGTTAACAAGGTGATTTCTTAATATGATCACCCTCGTCATCACCAAATTAACAAGGTGACTCCCCAGTCTGATCACCCTAGTTATCACCCAATATTAAACAGGTGAATCCTCAGTGTGATCATCCTCGTCATCATTCTATGTTAACAAGGTGAAATTAAAGTCTGATCAACCTCGTTATCGCCCTAAATTAACAAGGTGACTTCTCAGTGGGATCACACACGTCATAGCCCTATGTCAACAAGGTGACTCCTCAGTGTGATCAACCTAGTTATCACCCAATATTAACAAGGCGACCATACAGTGTGATCACCCTCGTCATCACTCTCTGTTAACACAGTGAAATTCCAGTGTAATCACCCTCGTCATCACCATATGTTTTAAAACAATGTGCCTCCCCATTGTGATCACCCTTTCTGTTTTGTTTTCTGTTTTCTTCTTCTTCTTCTTCTTCTTCTTCTTCTTCTTCTTCTTTAAGCTTACATCAAGATATGAAGTAACTCCTTTCAATTTAATTAAAGAATTACTATATTACTTGCAGGAGTTGGTGTAGCCCGTCTTACAAATTATATATCTATTTGCTGAAATTGGCTTTTGATCCTTAACAGTGTGTGATGGCTAGTGTGTTATACATATGGACTGTATGGCCTGTATCTGTTGGGGGAATAAATCCAATATCACCAAATATTTATACTCAACAGTTTTCCTTATATGAATACCAGTAACTCATTGTCTAATACTTGATATTATTCACTGAAGATAATAGTCTAGTAAATATCTCAAATTAAATATCCCTAGTGAAAGGGTTACTATATCTCAAGAATACTGAACAAGTCTGTTTACATCAAGGAGTTACTTCCCCTTATCCCAAACATCATATCAATGTACAAATATATGTCTGTGTTTCTTACCACCTGTTGTCACTTTAAGGAGAGGACTTAGATAGGCTATGCCCGATGTCTGATCCTAATGACTATTGCTTATATTGTCAATAAAATTTGTTGAAATTGAAATTGAAGTGATCACCCTCGTCATCACCCTACGTTAACAAGTCGACTCCCCAGTGTGATCACCCTCGTCATCACTCTATGTTAACACGGTGAAACCTCAGTGTGATCACCCTTGTCATCACTCTATGTTAACACGGTGAAACCTCAGTGTGATCACCCTTGCTATCACCCTATGTTAACAAGGCGACTCCTCAGTGTGATCACCCTCGTCATTGTCTTTCTTTCGTTCTTTCTCCATTTCGGTAATTACATCAGCACGTTTTATATGACGCAACGCACCATAAAACAAACCACGAGTTGCATCCTTGCCGAGCATCTTCCTCCACTTGTTCAGGACCTCAAACGATTTCTTTTTTGCATTACCTTGGCAATCTGCATTTATAATGTCTATGTCATGTGAAGCAATCCTAAGTCGTAATCCTAGTTGAAAATAGTCTTCGTCTTTAACTAGAAGAGTAGCAGGAGTACAAAGGTCCCTTTCGTTCAGGGGACCATCTTGTGACACTAATGACTGTTGAACTTTGTTTAATAAAAAAAATAAACAATCTCAATATCAAAAGTATCATATTGACAATGTATGATTTCTTTCTTTTCTATTAATTAAACGTATGCATTTTATTTTCATTTTTAAATGCATGATGGCAACATGTGATACTTCTGTAGTCTTATGTTTAAAACAAACTCATGACGTTTAATATTATCTTTATCAGTAAAATCGAAACTCTACCTGCCAAGGGATGAGACGTTCGGTTTCCGATAGGCTTGTGTTTCTTGGTTGCTGAAATGTCAAAGATGTACAATATATATATACATATATATAATCAAAAAGGATTAAATGTCCATGTGAAGTAAGTAAATATAGCAAAAATAAGATCTAACGACCGACTGGAAAACTAGCTGCTTCAGGTTTATTTCAAAAGAACAACTTCGTGACGTTGTAATTACATGTCATCACACTACAATAGTAACGTGACGTCACGTAAAAAAGTATTACACTCTAAGAGAAAAGAAAGAAGACCAATTGATCAAAATATTAAAACCAAGTCTCAACAGCCCACAGTAAAAGTTTGCGCTAGTTTGTCCACCAATCTTGTGTACTTCGTGACGTCACGTTACTATTGAAGTGTGATGACATGTAAATGTGACTTCACGAAGTTGTTCGTTTGAAATAAACATGAAAAGCCCTGTGAAGGGTGAACGCAGTTAAGTTTTCAGTCGGTCGTTAGATCTATTTTTTCTATATATAGATATTTATATATAGGTCAAAGAAGTAATATTAACGGTGTCTTCCCAACAAAACACTGGATCCTTGCAAACGTATGTTTGCAGATTACGAATTACTTGAATTGGTATATACGATACAAGGAAGTAATTAAAACAGTATGAACAGTATGAGGTTGTCAAATTTCCGGAGCAATCTGCTTCATTATCGAGATACAGAAAGACGCAGACTATTTTATGTAATGTAAGTGTTCTGTGTTTTTGCTGTGTCTAGATAAAGTAGCAGATTGCTCCGAAATTTGACAACCTCATATTAGCTACACTGTTTTCAATGGAGTATCAAAAGTTCCGTAAAAGAGATATTATCAGAGACACACAAACTTATTGAAATGCAGGGAAAACAGAAACTATTTAGCCAAAGTTTTCAAAATATTGACATGCATGCCCTATTCAATAAATTCAATTATTGAGGTGTGTGCATACCTTTTAAAACTTGTCTGAGTAGCCGGACCTTTCGTTGGTACAAATGATACCAACATGAAACCCAAAATGTAGATACCCCCAGAAAAATCAGCACAATCACTGATGCTTTAGCCCACTTCACTGAAATAAGAAAAACAAAAAGTTAACTGTTGAACTTTGTTATAAGAACATTCTTTTCGGGACAGTACATACGCTATATAGTTGTTTGTGTGTGCATACTCTTTATTTCAACAAACAGTGTACGTGCAACACTCTACCAAAGAACGTGTGGCATGTGTTTAATTTTGTCTCCGAGCGAGGATCTAAGCGCTTCAACATACATCCGTCTTAAATTGCCATAATATGACCACTTACTCAACGTTTGAATGTTATTATTTGACATTTAATAGCGATACGCTGTTTCTGATGTTGAAATTAAAACGAAACATTATATGACAAATTTTGCACTCGAAAAATTAACTGCTCGTTTAAAAAGACAATGATGTAGACACGAAATGTATGCTGAGCGTTTTTGTTTTTATAGTTTATTACATTTTAGGAATACAAGTTGTAGGCAGGTACTGTAAGAGGTTCGGTCAAATCTGAATAACTACAAAAAACCTAACTAATCTTTTATATAGAGAACAATTATAAAGGCTTGAATGTGTTTATTAACCTCAGGTCAGAACTAATTTTGAGTTTTCTATTGAATGAGCATTTGGTTTGTTAATTCAGAGCGAGACTCATGTTAAGGACTCTAAACACTAATAAGGTGTAGTAGTCGAGATTAAATGACCGATAAACTATACCACATAAAGTACTGTGTCTCCGTTTTGAAGTTAAATTTCGTCAATACCGATAAAGCTAAAACTCTTGTAACGCCACTTACTATTTGCCTCGTGTTTCTTTGTTTCGTCACTTCCAAGACTTTGTTTATTGACGGTACTGCTTGGAACATAAGTTTGACTGCAAAGAAAATGATCTTTATTTATGGTTCAGAATCTGAAGTGAAAACTTTTCAAACATTGAATGTTTACCTAGACTTAACGTTTTCTAAGCAGAAAAAGCTGCGCTTGGAAACAACCATATTTGGAAACAATTATTTGTGAAGTAGAAGTTGAATACATTGAACGAGTTTGCTTGCTGATATTAGGTACACGACATCTTTCTCGTTCTGCCGTATTTCTTACCTTTCAAGTGGTGGTGTACACTTGGTGTAAGATGAGGGGGTACATGGCTCTCTCTCCTCCATGCCTAGAGATGTACAGTTTTTAATAGTTTGCATGGCTGATAGGATGTATTGTTACTGAAATCTTTACCCGCTACACACTCCACACACCTTTGGCAGCTTATCGCTCCATGGATGGGGTCTAATCTGATCGCCTCATCCTGTAACGTCATCACATACAGTTACAACATATAACGATTGACTTGATTCTGAAAAAGAGTGAATTTGCGATAGAATTGGAATCTTAAGGTCTACAAATATTTAGTTATACAGAATGACTGTCTTATATATCTTATATATCTTCTGTGATATTATCATTTCTATTATAAATTTGTTTACAAACGTGTCTTTTCTAGATCATTACGGTCTAGAGTCTATAACTAGGGGGCCATCAGGACTATCTATTCTATCTTAAGCAATTTAATAGAACATATAAATATACGTAGTGTCCCTAACATTAGTGAGCGAGTGGTTTATTTTTGGGGCCTTATAAAAAGGTCTGAAACTGGCAACTCTAGAGAGTGAAGTGGAAGTATTGGACAGGGAGTTAGCTGTATTCTTAGACCAGGGGATTAGTTGTGCAGGTCTTTGACTCAGATAGCGGTGGTCGTGGATCCACAGAGTAATGGTACTGGATTCGTTAAGAATCGAGAGTCGTACTCATTTTTGAGACTGAGACCTGGGAAAATGTACAGAACGACATAGAGTAAGTTAGATGTGAGAGGTTTGTTAAGAAGTTTAGAGACAGAGATATAGTTGTCCTTTTTGGAAACGCTTATGAACAAGCAATGTACTTCATAAACAGAAAAGACATAACCAGAAGCGTAACCTTGTGCTCTACTTGGGTATTATAGCATTCCCCTGGCATTATTCTTTCCAAATAAACATTTTATAGTTTTATAGCCCCAAACCACAATACAAATATCTGACCTTACGAGTGCAATTGCTGTGTACAATCCATCACAAATAGTTACGTTTTGAACGAGCATTACATGGTGAAGTTATAGATACTATTATGGGAGTTTAACTTACCGTAATTGGGACCAGTCCCAAACCAATTTGACACTTGTCACATTGCTTACATCTTGGTACTTGGTGATTGAAGTACTTATGTTGGTTAAAGTCACAGAATCGTGATCCCGTACTCTTCTCCTGAATACCGGCCTGTAGTTGAAGTATCAACAAACCCCACAGGACTGGCGAAAAACGATTCATTCTCTGTGTGTCTGTTAGGTATATAACGCAAATGTTTAAGGTCATTTACATCTCTGGCAAGTAAAACTGGAATTCACATTGGCCTTATTTACCGTATTGATACGTTCTATATTTTACCTCACTAATTCGTTCAATGTTTAACCAAGCAGTGTCTTCATATTTTCCATTGTTTAACCCCAGTTCTGCATTCAATATTCCCTTGTTTGATATCACTAATACAATCAGTGTTTTACTGTAGTAATCCACCTACCTTTCCAATTGTTTAATAAAAATACCACAGTATTTCTTTGAATAACCTAGTAATATATTCAAATGTCACCTTGTTTTGCCCCAGTACTTCGTTATTTAACTTTGTTATTTTACATTGATATTAGAACATCCAAAATATATAGCAAACTTAACAAATATCGTAACAACAACAACAACAACAACAACAACATCTCCCCCGGATCTTCAGAAGATTTGTGAATATTGAAGTGCGTCATACCACATTTTGTTTGAAGTATATTGTCCCCTTTAATCTCAGCAAGACATCGCATCAACTGAAACGTGGCAGATAAACTTAAATTGTTGAATAAAAACTTACCCTTTTTGATGAAAGTCAGGGTATGTCTACAACAATATCCGATCAGAAGCAATAGTTTAATCTATTTGGTTATATATAGTACCAGGAATTTCCATTGGGAACAATTCCAAGTTTCAGTTTACTGTTATAAAACAGGTTTATTTTGTGTCTGTATTTCCTATTTCAAAATGCATTATTGTTGTAATTAACAATTTGATTGGGCACAGGTATTGCCTTGTAAAGCCATTTAAATATAGACAGACATACATTTCAAACATAAATTTCATGTAAACTAAGGATGAAATGTACTAAATTTAGGGTAGTGTAGGCCGAACCAAATAGCCAGTGCATGTACATTGAGATTTACAGTCTATTTGGAATATCAGAGATCTTGACAGGGTAGATCTAGTGTTTGCGTTAGGGCACTTCGAATTCACTGTGTCTGTATACCACTGGCTAGCGATTTACATGAGTCTCCGCGCTAATTTCAACAGGATATAGAAGACCTTGTATGAAATAAACTGATATTTACCTGTATGATGCAATAAAATGACCATGTTTCGAAATACGAGGAAGTATTTTAAAGCTGACAGTGCAAAGACAAACTTTGACCGTAATACAGACAGCGATCACTCGTGGACATTTTAATCATGAATTGACTTGTTTATTTAATGCTAATTCAAATACACAAATGAAGATCGTCTATTAAAAACTACAAAACGTTCATTTGTGTGTAAATACAAGAGGCCAATCATGCTGTATCCATTTTAATAAAACTTTTTAACCTTTCAATCCTGCAAAGCACAAGCTAAATATCGCGAACGTAAGTCTAATTTTTGTTCAGAAGACATCGTATAAAGGTATTGAAAGTAAAATCATCCTAAAACACTGGAACGTACTTGACAGCCTCTAAATACAGTAGGCTTTATTACAGCAAATATCATACAATATCAAAGTAAGATGTTTAACATTTAACACATTTGACCGCTGTGGCATGAACGGTTTGTTAATGTCCATGAATTAAAATGAAGAGGATGGCGCGTCGGGGGAAAATTATGATCATAGTTATTTTTGATATCCAGAACCCAATCATGAAATAGATATTTGACCTTGGACCTAGAGATAGTCAAAAGTCATCCGTGTAGTCATAGTCAATAGCCCCAAAATGATATGCATTTACATCCAAGCATGTCACCCAACAAATACCATTACTTTATAGATTATTATCTTTTTGTTTGTGAAAAAGAAGTTGCTAAAAGACAACCGTTCAAGGATGACTGAAGGCGATCCCTGCTCAATCGCCGACAAGTACGTTTTGTAAGATGAGCAAATAACTCAATGCCATGTTGATTTGTATACTTAAGGCGTATCTCCGACTCGCAGTACCATAACAAATGGAAGGTTTGATAAAGAACATATCTTTATAGTGTATATGTTGTGATAATGATGATTGTCATTGTGTATAAGTAGTGATGATGATGATTGTCATTGTGTATAAGTGGCAATACTGATGATTGTCATTGTGTATATGTGATGATGATGATTGCCATTGTGTATAAGTGGCGATACTGATGATTGTCATTGTGTATATGTGATGATGATGATGATGATGATGATGCTGCTGATGATGATGATGATGACGACGCCGACCAGGACGACGACGATGCCGGTGATGATGATGATGATGATGGCATTACTGATGATTGTCATTGTCTATATGTGATGATGATGATGATGATGATGATGCTGATGATGATGATGATGATGACGACGCCGACCACGACGACGACGACGACGGTGATGATGATGATGATGATGGCATTACTGATGATTGTCATTGTCTATATGTGATGATGATTATGATGATTGTCATTGTATATAAGTAGTGATGATGATTGTCATTGTGTATAAGTGGCAATACTGATGATTGTCATTGTGTATATGTGATGATGATGATGATGATTGCCATTGTGTATAAGTGGCGATACTGCTGATTGTCATTGTCTATATGTGATGATGTTGATGCTTCTGCTGCTGCTGCTGCTGCTGCTGCTGCTGCTGATGATGATGATGATGATGATTGTCATTATGTATAAGTGGCGATACTGATGATTGTCATTGTCTATATGTGATGATGATGATGATGATGATGATGATGATGTGTAAAGTAGTTCCAGAATTTTCCTTTTGTTTTGATAATGAACAGTTTTAAAATCAACACTTCGAATGTATTTAACAGTAAATGTATCATGTGGTATAGTAAATAGAAGTAGTACCTGTAGTGGTGTAGGAATATGTTTCTTCTGGTTTTATTTTTACACTTACCATGTTTATGACATGGCTGTATGACATATTAAAATGGATCAATAATGTGAAAAATGACAATCGACAACAACATAAAAAATATCGAAGAAATGTGGTTATGGAATAAACGTCTGAGTTATGTATGATGATGGTGCTGTGTTGTGTTTAATCATGTGAAAATAGTAGGTAGATATTGTATTAAGAATAATCGTGTAAGTCATTCAAACAGAGGCAGGTGTTTGACTGTTATGTACCGTGTCAGTTTTGTTTGCATCATTATTTGTTACTAGGTATCACAATGTAGGTTAGTAGGTAAGTAGGTCACTATTTGTCAGACATATGTAGGTTAGTAGGTAAGTAGGTGATCGCGTGATTGACAGAATGTATAGAAGAGGGTTAGTTGTGCGTGAACAATATAACTAAATTAAACAGACTAAAATATACGTGTATGATGTAATAACAATATCAAGTTTCCTATCAAGAGACAGATTCTCGGAAGGTAGTGTGTTCTTCATTAAAATATGGTGTAAAAAGCTTTGTAATAAATACTCAATGAACGTTAAAAAATAAAACCCTAACACACCATTGATAGGTGTCATGTGTTCGCTTGTTTAAATGCCTCCTTACATAAGGCTTTTGTTTGTGTTTTGTAATCCTTTTGAGAATATCTTCAATTTCTAACATTCTTCAACAGCTGAATGTCCTATGTTAGTGTAAAAAAGTGGATCGCCTACAAACAAGTGCAAAACATAAAACAAAATGTCTAAAGAGCCTGTATATTTCTCCTGTTATTTGGTAGATTTCTTTTTGTAAAATTAGATCAAATCTTACCTTCAAATTGCGTTACGTTCAATTAGATGAAATCAAATGGCATTTGAAACCACCATAGTTCATGCTTAATATAACGGAGACGCTACAGATATTTTGAATACTTCTTAACATTTTTTATTTTTTTATTTTGAAAAAAGACATCTAGTGGAAATAACAATGCATGTAGTAGCTTGATCTGTTAGCTTAAATCCTCCAACAAAGAACATTTGTGTAATACATTTGTAATGCTTGAACTCTTTATAGATATGACATTATCATGTCAAAATGTTTCCGGGATTTGCAGAAATAGCTGATTAAAGATTTAAACTAAAGATTTAAACTAAAGATAATATACATGGTAAACTTCCAACTATGGTCAAATATATTCCTGTTATCAAATGTCATTTCCATTATGTCAAAAATAAAATAATGCCCTCGCTCAGTTAACCAGATGCTAGGTCCCCGTGTGTTGACGCTGTAGTGTATTTGTCCATGGTGTATTCAGTGAACATGTAAATCAGTGTAGAGCTGTTATCATACAATCTACACTCGTGACGACTAACAAAAGCGAGATCTATTTTTATCAGAGACGGTCATATATTGTTTACGTCATAAGCGCGTTTGTCAAAATTTCAAGTCATCGTTATTTAGGTGTCAATTTGCCAGACAAGTGAGGGAGACATTTAAAAATACTTTATTTGTATGAACACGTCAAAAGGTAATTGTCTTAGGAAATGTTTTGTAGGGTTTCACTTGTGATATTGCATCATATGCATATATTTCGTCCCCTCGTTAAGGGAAGACAACATTCACATGTTAGTGTTTGACCCTTTTAAACTAAACACAGGTCGACTACAGTATTGTTGGTGTATTTTACTTGTTGATGTACTATTGTATTTCTGGGTGAGGCACCTTTTACAGAGCACGTAGTGTTTTATACCAAGTTCATAAAGTATACAAAAATGCATACATTATGCTTAAGTATCACATTTCTGTGTCAATAGATGGATATAATGAATATGGAAATAAGGCAACTAGGTTATGGTATATAGGTTGGACCTCAGATTTAAATGATACACAGGATATATACATTGCATGTTGCTCTTTCAGTTTATTTCACAACACCCATGCTTTAATTCATTTAAATACCATATACATAAATGTCATCATGTGTCTGCTGCAGAAACTTTTACACAACTTGCATCTGAACGACATTATAATCACTTTTAATAAAAAATACAGCGCAAATAAAACTTAATGCAAATATACATATGTAAAAATAGCATGGACTTGTGCACTGTGATAACATGTGTTGTTGATGGGCTGACCAGTCAATTTGATTCGTTCCGTCAATTTTGTCATGTTCATTTACATCTTCACCATTGTACAGGCAGCAAAGACCATATCAAATCAAAATTACCTCAAAACCAAACGTCTTGATATATGAAATTCCAAAATCACTTTAAGTGTTTATAACATAATTGTAAATGTGAATTCAGATTTATTAAGATGAGTACGAGATAAAACATGGGTGAACTATGGTGATAGTTGATATGTAATACGTTTTGAATTGCACATGCGCAATTGCATATTTGTTGGTTACTCGGTCGGATGAAATTTCGAGTTAGAGTTACTACAATTAGTCCCGTTTGGCAACCCTAATATAAACCTGTCTTATCTTCATCTTGCAGTCAATCTACGAATTCAAGATAGTTATTGGGTGATTATAATTGGAATTCCGGCAGTATAACTTGGTACATGTGACGTTAATGATGCCTATATGTATATTTTATCACCATCTACATAGTAGACAAGATTGTGCGAGAGCATAATTATATTCAAGCAGATAATAAAAAACACAAACCAAACTTTAATTGATTTTATTTTTCTCAACCAGTTAAAATGAACGTGTAACAAAAGTACAAAAATGGGAAATAATGAAATAATCATTAACAACGAAATTTAACAAGATGATATGTATTAAATCTATGAAAGGATGCTATTGATGACTTGTTAAGTAATGATGAATTATGAAACATAGCAATACGTACGATGTCATGCCATCAAAGGGGCGTTTAAACTGATATTTTCCAGTCAATACAGCTGCTATAATGAACCGAAAGTCAGCAGTACGTTACACTATCAACAATTAAGAGCTCAATCTGTAACACACAGCGTACAACATGTTTTGTAGATGGCATTGGCAAATGACATACGTACGAATATGAAGAAATATGTTTAACATTTTATAACGCGGTGGTCGCAGTATTGTTACTGATATATACTAGCAAGAAATATTAATTACATCATTTTTAGTTCACATGTAAAGTAGAATCGAGTCATACCCGTATAAGAAGAATGTGTTACCATAGCTGTTTTCTCGTATTGGTGTTTATTTTAAAAGGTGTTTGGAACAATTCTTCATAGTTTCTACTTAAAGTACTATTTTATTGACATAATTACTATGGTAATTAACAATGCCTAATTCCTTGTATACTCAACGGTGAGTATATATGAACACAGCTGATAAAATATGAATGATGAATGATTCTTTGTCAAGAAATAACTTATGAGGATGACATTTATTACATTTCCACAGGTGAAATATTGGAAATTATCCATTTAATAGAAACTTATGTTTTGACTGCAGTAAATATATTCGAAATGTTATTTCTTCACATGAGAAGTTATTCTTTTTATTATTGTCCAGTCAAAACAGTATTTTGTATGCACTGCGTAGATTTTCAGTTTCGAGTTGAAGAGAAGCGACGGTATAGCCAATTTAAAATGGCTCTCTGCCTTGTTGTTATTGAAACTTGGCAGGCAATAATACGCTTCTTTATACCTGCGCTTTTTTTTGATGCAGTATATTTGCGTCGTGTTTCCTTAAAAACATGTAATACATAGAAAATTTTATGTTTTTTTCCGTTGAATACCTTATACCTTTCACATGTATCGCGGAATATACCGATATTTTCATAAATGATTCGCCCTCGTGAAACATATCGGTATTCTGCCATAATCGTGCAATATGTATGGTGTTCAACGGGAAACCATTCAATACCCTCCTTGTTTCACCCTACCTGTACATTTGTTATCGCAGTCACGCATAACAACACACACGAAAATACACACATACTTTACACACCTCCGGTAAGTTTCTATCACAGTAATAACACAACCCACTTACGTTACACGCATGCAATAAATAAGAATGTTTATACACGGATAACAAAAAAAAATCCAAGATTTACTGCTAGGCCTTTCTGCCTTTTAGTCTGCCTGAACAAGCCCTAGCGGTAGATCTTGGATACCTATTATGTTATTATGTATTTTCATTCCCAAGAGGTTTTTCATTTATCATCTATTACATATATATATCATAATTTCATAAATGCAGGAAAATGATCCTTACGGACGAAGAATATTATAAAAAGAAAAAATCTCAACAACGAGTCTTTAGTACTTTCATCAAGTACTATAGACTCGTTGTTGAAATGTGTTTTTTTTTTTTATAAATATATAATACTCTCTTCACCCATACGTTAAACATCTGTTATATCCGTCACTCATAACAACACACACAAAAATATAGACATTCGTGACACAAATGCGTTAATTTGCTATGACAGTACTAACACAACCTACAAAATGTACATGTACAGTTTATACATTTGTTATCAAAGTTAAAACTATCATCGAAACCATATATGCAGCCTTTACAAGGGATAGGAGTTAGGTTTGTACATGCTTATACACGTAACATATTGTGTTACTGACCTGCAATAACTAAACAACACGTTGAAATATATAACATTATATAAAATGTAAATGGAAACATCTGTATCAGAATGGTTTACCAAAATATAAACATATAACATTCATATTGTTATTCGGCAGAACATTGTTTCCGGCGTGACTCAAATTTCCCATACACTCTGTAGGGAGTGTAATTATTGAGATTCTAATTAGCTATATCTTGATAACAAATACAAAAGAGTTCATGTTTTCATTAGAATCGTCAAAACAAGCCCACAGATCAAACCCCAAATTTCATTTCATAATTTTTTTGACAATTTTATCATATACTTCAAAAATAATTTTAGCTGTTCGACAGATAAAATATTTGAAAATAAGGAAATGTGGCATTTCATTATAATGAAATCCTCATTTCCTCATAAAACATAATTATTCCAGTATCTCAGGTGATAACGACTAGTAGCGGTGTATGCGATTTTAATGGATATAGATGTTATCCAATGTACCTTAAAGCACCGGGACGATTATTTCATAAATAATAGAGTTACGTTTTCTCAACCATGTCATATATCATATACATTGTAATGATACAAAATGATAAAAATGCCAGTGAGGACAAACGTTCAATAAGACAAGCCCTTAATTGATCGGGTACCAAATCGGTAGTGCCCTCGACATCCCCATAAATGGGGCTAGAACGGGTATGGGGAAAATGTTCCATCAGGTGTGTTTTATCCTGGTTACCGGTTTCCTCTTATATTAGTTTCCCCATACGCGCGTTCATCCCGTTCAACAATCATGGTTATTATAATATGATGAAAGTTATTTCCAAATTGTTACCAAAAAGACAAATCTTAATTTTAATTGAAAAAATATCGATTCACACATTGACATCGAAGGAAGACGAATATTACAGCATACTGATGCAAAAATCATCAGAGGTTCTGTATGTATAGCTCCAAAGTGATGATATTATAAACCTCCAAGACGGCAGTTTTGTAGTTCATAACACATTAAACATGTATTATGAGGACTTTAATACGACCTACTTCGTACTTTGTCCAATATGTCTTTTCTACCAATGTCAGAAATACCCTTTTTGAGATCATCAATTCCAGCTTCCGGTTGGCACTCCATCCATTTTCGCAATGTTCTGTATCCACGTTCAGTAAGTGGCTCATGTTCCTCTTTGATTATATCTATATCGGTTGTCGATACATTCAGATGTCTGCCTAGGATCTGATAGGTTTCGTGAGTTCCAATGTACTTTGATACATCGCAAACAAACTTCTCTAGATCTTTGCGATCAGTTTTTCGCTTTCCTTCAAAATAATGAAAAAGGGAAAATGTAGGAACAAGTTTTAAAAAGAGTATGATCTAATTCATACATTCGTACAAAAGATCGACTAATGATTATGCATTACGTGCAATGAATGAATTAGTTCAGGAGAGAATATTATGTTAAATCTGAAATATTATATTGTTAATAATAATATTGTTTCACCTTCATCGGCGGATACTTTTTCGCTTGTTGATTTGCTATCGTGGTAAAGGGCAGGCGCAGCTTGATCATGGTACATACCATTGTTGGTAGGAAGATTGTTTGATGGAGTAGTTCCTGTGGTGTTTGATGGCATAGGTGTTGCGGTGTACCGAACTGCATTTACTCTGCCAGTCGTTGCGGACGTTTCGTTAAACACCATAATTGACGGAACAGCATCTTCCTCGACGTCAGAAGACAGCACATTGCTATGTTCCGTATTTCGTGTAGAAGAATGTTCCTCTTGTCTGATTGCAGTATAATAACCATGTGCTCTGCTATCGGTTGAGTACCTGGTGCCACTGTTTTGGTCAAAAGGGTGTTGTGTGTATCTATACTCTGCATACGGAATACCACAGGCATTTTTGTCACCAACTTCATGTTCGATTGTGGTATATACGTTGTTGTTGATGCCGTCAGCCACACGTTTTGGTCGTGGTGTTTGAGGTTGCATTTCTGACACAACACTGGTTGTGTTGTGGCCCGAGCCTGATCGTGTCACAATAGGCTGAGAGTCATCTCTGTCAAGGAAAAAAATAAAATAGAAAATATCATACATCATCCAGTCAACACACAGGCAAAACATACTCTAATGAGACAACACATACAGACAATATAATTAATCAAATTAAAACACATAGACAATATAGCCATCGAGTCAACACAAAAAGACAATATCCAACTAACAGAATCAAGAGATAACATAATAAGCTCTGAAACTAAAGATGTGTTTTTCCAAATCCATAAAAATATAATTCACGCAAAAAAACTTAAAACCAAACGAGAGAGCTGTCAACAAATACCATGTTGATGATGATGATGATGATGATGATGATGATGATGATGATAACCGATTGTTAGTGTACATTAACATGCATTTGTAACTGTTAATCAAAAAGCTACTTACACAGTATTTGTTTGACCCAATGAACAGCCACGATTACCTATAAACAGAAAATACAATTTAATGAAAGTCATACTGTTTCGGATGCTCGGAACTATATTTTCGTTATCAATTATATATACTTTATCGCTATGATGATGGAATTCATTTCGAATATTATGCGTTGATATGATCTATTCAAAAGGCAGGTAACAATAGTTCAGGTGACCAGAAACATGTTTTCCAAAATGTCACATGAGCACTACATTAAAATCCATTACCTCGGATAGGATGTACAAGTACTCACCTCCATAACATGTCCTGTAAAATGCTACGCCAAGGACCGCGATGATTATAATCACCACTATGCCGACGAGAGCTACTGCCAATGCAGATATGTTGATATGTGTATGGACTGTGTGTTCTGAAACAAAATGTTATAATCTGTAAGTTTTCTATTGAATATGTAATACACAGCTAAAAATGCAAAAATATATATAGATGAATATCATTTTTAACTTCATTGATTAAACAAATAATTTGATAAAATAAATAGATGAATTAACAAAGAAGTTATTTTTTAACTTTCACAGTTGGCTTGGCCGATACGTACGGTCATTTCGGTAATCTGTTTTCACTATACGGTCAGGTTGACGGTCTCTAGACGGAGGATGGTGTGTCGGCAGGATACTAACTTGCTCTGTCGGCAGGATACTAACTTGCTCTGATGTGATGCTGAAGTGAAAAAAGTTGAATGTCATTTAAATGTCTGGTTTATATATAAAAAAGCATAGAACTCCTCGTTGGATATTAGGTATCATATGTATATTATAGACCTATACCTTATATAATAAAGCGTTACTCTAAATGTAAACACACGGATAAAATAAATGAAACAATGATTAATGAGATGGCGATAAGAAATCCCACATATTGATCATATAAAGTAGTTATAACAGGTAGTGGACAGTATCTTACGTTGTTTTGACTTTGATGCGTTTACCGCAGACCGCATTCCTATTTGGTGCGCACGCAGTCTTCACAGTCCGACCGGAAGCAGCACAATCTCTGCACGACTTACATTTGAATGCACGTCGGGTATTATACGTCCCTGGTTCACACTGTAGGCATGACCTGCACTTCAAAGCACCAAATTTTTCATGAACCTCCACTTGTGCTGTCTGAAAAGGTATCACACAATAATATCAACATGTCTTCTATCTTCTTGAATGCATGGTCAACCGATGTTAACAAATTGCATTCCGACTTATTGTGACGAGGCCTGTGATGAACTGCGGATCACTATTTGGAATTATATTTGATATGGATTGATATTAGTACCATAACACTAACGATATTATTCTACTTTTTTGGTTATGACAGGAGCTATTTTTATGGTTCCCTACACAAACAAGAGGCCCATGGGCCTTAACGGTCACCTGATATATTTATACAGAGAGTTGATTTTGTTTTTAACATGAATGGAAATATTATTCAAAGTGACAAAAAACAATAAAACCACCTTATTCAATATCTAGCATACAGATATCAGTATTTGAAACTTTGAGCCCCACCCTACAGTCCTTGGGGGTAGGGCTGGCTCAAAATTTTCAAAGTAACAAACTGTCAACTCAAGGTTATAATTCGTATCAAGTTATTAACATGTAATATTCAAAGTATCATTTGCCATTATAAACCATAATAAATTTTGCCTCCCCCTCCTTCCCCAGGGGGTAAACGTGAGACCCTAGGGTCATAAACCTTAAAACCCTTCCATCTATGAAGAGTATTTGATTCTACCGTATCTGGGACTTGAAAAGAAGATTTTGGAAATTTCAGTAAATTCAACCCTTTTTGGCCCCACCCATCAGCCCCTGGGGGTCAGTCAGGGCTTATATGTGCTTGTTATCAAACTGCTACCTAATACTGATATTGCTAACCCAAATTGAATTACTTCCAATGTAAATTAAACAAATGTTGGTTCAAAATGTGATTTCCCTATATAAACTATTGTAAGTTAACCCCCGGGGAGGGGGTTAACTTGAGACCCCAGGGTCAACAAATTCACAATTTTGGTAAAGCACCTTAAGACCCTTCCATCTATGAAGAGTATTTGATTCTACCAAATCTGGGTCTTGAGGAGAAGACTTTTGAAATTTCAGTCAATTCAACCCTTTTTGGCCCAACCCATCAGCCCCTGGGGGTCAGTCAGGGCTCATATGTGCATACTATCAAACTGCTACCTAATACTGATAATGCTAACCCAAATTGAATTACTTCCAATGGAAATTAAACAAATGTTGGTCCAAAATGTGATTTCCCTATATAAACTATAGTAAAGTTTACCCCCTCCCCAAGGGGAAACGTGAGACCCCAGGGTCAAGAAATTCACAATTTTTGTAAAGCACCTTAAGACCCTTCCATATATGAAGAGTATTTGATTGTACCATATCTGGGTCTTAAGAAGAAGATTTTGAAATTTTAGTCAACTTGACCCCTTTTAGCCCCGTCCCTCAGGCCCCTGGGGGCTTGGGACTAAACCGGCCACCAAATTTGTTGACCATTGTCCATGGAAGGTCCCTGTAAAATTTCATTGAAATTGGTTCAGGGGTTTTGGAGAAGAAGATTTTTGAAATTTTAGTCAATTTGACCCTTTTTGGCCCCGCCCCTCAGGCCCCTGGGGGCAGGGGTTTTGGAGAAGAAGTCGAAAATGTAAATGTTTACGGACGCACGACGGACTACGGACGACGGACGACGACGGACAAAAGGCGATCGCAATAGGTCACTTGAGACTTTGTCTCAGGTGACCTAAAAAAAAACCGAAAATTTCTGTAATAGAAAAAATAACCTAATCTAATATATATAAGATATAATATTATAATACTAGATAATACAATGAGGCATTGCCGTATTAATTTTTGAAATCTGCAAAACCCTTGATAATTTATTGTAGGTCGTTTTGATAACATTTAGTTATTTACACTATACATGATAGCGACACACTTCAAACGATTTATTTTGTTTGAGAAAGTAAAAGTTCTTTTCTTTCTGTGTGAGTCGGATAGAAATCATTCCCCAGTTGCTCAAAGGTTGGTTAAAGTTAACCAGTGGTTAGAGAATATTGAAAATATGAATTCAACAAAATAAAAATATATTAAAAATGCAGTAATGTGAATTTTTCACCAACCACTGGTTAAAGTTAAGCAATCTCTGAGCATCATGGCCTGGTACCCAACTAGTAGCCCAAATCCCGAATATAATCTGTACGATGTACCTTAAATATTATAATTGTGAATTAACACACTTTATTAAATATAAATGACTATACAGAACTAATAATTGATATAAGATATGTCGCCATCATATCGAAACTGAAATCATATTCATGTTATCGACCACAATCAATAACCCTGCTATCTAAGCATAAGACACGTTATTAAATGCATGAAAATTTCTCGCAATCACATTGGTCGGATCATTTACACGTGACCAGTCCTCAAAAACTCATGTAGACTGGTTATCCGGTGAATATCGATTTCTAAATATAGCCTATATGGAAATACCCCGGAATCTGTCGTAGCGCATGCGCAGTTAGACTGGAACGCGATCTGTCAGACGACATTAGAAGATGGCTGCTGGTGAAAGTTTCTCCTCTGTTACATCAGAAAATAACCAAAACTATTCAAGGATAAAGATGATGTTAACATAAAAAAGGCCATTGAACACGCAGTGCATGTCCTCCATGCTTATCTTAAGAAAAAGAATGTAGACGATGTCTTCGAAAGCTACGATGATGAACTGTTGAATTCAAACCTGGCTAAATTATACAAGGAGTCTCGCGTACAGAAATCAGAACCTTGAGTTTTGTTTTGTTTTATTTTATTGTTGAAGCATATAATAAAACAGTTATGGTCTTTTGTGCTGGTAAATATGATGTGATATGAACCTGAAAGAGTGATATTGACCTTGGCTTCGCCTCAGTTAATATCACTCTTTCAGGTTCATATCACATCATATTCACCAGCACAAAAGTCCATAATTGTATAATATTAACTCACCGAGTCTATCCCTTCCCCAGGCAGGCATCTGTCACAGGGCCGGCAGCTATTTAGTTGTTTATGATAGTAACGATTCCTCGCCATCAAACAGGGAAACTTTCGGTAAACGGGATTGTCGGCGAGGGCGAGGGCGAGGGCGAGAACATTTAGTAGGACGATGGTCCCTTTGATATCCATCTTCAGCTTGTTCTGCATAAAGAAAACGAGAAAGCGTTAACACGGTTTCTGATTTATACCCATCCACACAATCAAAATTATTAAATTATTTAAATTATATAAGTTGCCTTAAAAAACACTCGAAACCTCTGTCTTTATATCAATATATTGCAATCAAAATTTACAAGGATCGTTTACGAATGGCAAAAGCTACAGTAATTCTTCTCCAGATGTCAGAGTCATACCATATTGAAAACTAACACTAACAACTAATATATTCTCATCCATACATTACAATATGTACATGTTTATATATAACCGACTACCGCTATAAGAAGGAACGTCACGTGCCAGACCAGGATAAGAAGGTTCGTTTCATAAGCCAATCAATACGGAATATTTGATACTGATTACCACATAATTCTTGTTAGAGAACATAGGTAATATTGTCTGGTATCGTAGCAGTATAAAACCAAATGTTTATGTATTACAGTTGCTAGGATACTATGATGGTTGTGATGTCATCCTATAAATATTTTTTTGGGAACAAATATTTCCAGAACGTCCGGAAGGGAATAAAAGATAACTGGAAACATGATGCAATAATCCTAACATATGTTTCCCTATAGTTATATTACTGAGGTGAATAGGACTTGAAGCTTCCCAACGCTACGACGGACATGATAAAATTACAAAAGGTAACAAAAATAATTTCATCTTGGAATTGTCGCACGAACTGTGTCTTTTAAACAGTTTAAAGTTTACTAGGTTTAATTCGCGCACATTCGTACCGCTAGCAGTTCCTGGTAATACACTAATGTTAGATGTCAAGATTTGTTAGCTTACACAAACTTTATGTCTTTATTTACCAACGGTGTTAAACATCTAAGTATTATAATGCTTGCACACCGTGTATTCAACTGATTATTAAGAACCGTTCACATGGAGATTTAGTTCCTGTATTAAATTATAGCATTTCAAAATGTCGCTCACAGAAAACCTGTCGTAAGCTGATCAGGCTAACACAGACATAGCGAACCAAGCAACATGTGATCATCGAGCTTTGTCATATCTATTTTTAGAGACACCTTTGTCGGCAGTGTACGTCATGACACACGGTTCAATGAACGCTAGGACGACACACCCGATAACGGTATAAGTAAATTATTTGGATATGTGTATGGCATGGTTTTGCTACAAATACTACATGTACACAGTTACTGGCGCTATTGGAGATTATCGGTATTACTAACACAGGCATAAACAAACGAAGATACAATCCATCATCTGTTATAGCACTAGTTTATTCCGTTAACATGAAAATGAATTAAAAAATAGAAATGTGACAAACTATTTGTGTTAAAAGTAACGATAAAGGAGTCGCATAACAAGACATGCAGCTAGCGTCCAGAAATTAATCTACATCGACGTCTATATCTGTACATTATGAATGAAATTAGAATAAAGTATAATTTTTTCTTTTTTTCTCAGTAACTAATACTTTTATCCAACTCTATCTTGCCATATATTAACCTTGGTATATTTTAGTCATCTTTAACATTTAATAATTTTGCAGCATATATGGAAAAAAATACACAAAATATTTCGAGAACATAATTATCTGAATGGTTCTAAATGAAGAAAAGTGGAAGGTTGAAAGTTTTTCGTGCCTTAATTAATGTATTACATGGTGATAGACAATTGTGCACAGATTACCAGCACATCATAATATCTAATTAATACATGTAAATACTTACTGTATCGATGATTTCCGGTATTATATCATTGACGAAGTTAATGTGTGTTCGTGTTACCAAACAGCAGACCCCTCTGTATTACCTAATTGTGTGAACATCTGATCACGATAGAAAATGAGGATACTGTCTTCTGATTGGCTTAAAAACATCACAACACTAGGATAAATTTAGACACGAAAAGATCAGGGAATTCCCATAAGCTGAAAACATAATCGTAGTTGTAAAACAGAGAAAACTTTACACGGACACTCTTTTTTTTCGAATCAAATGGTAATTAAATAACGAGAAATTCATTTTTTGCATTCTAGTATGGATAAGGGAGCCTACTGTAGCTCAGTCGTGGGTGTTATATCATATCTAGGTCACAGTGGACCTGTTATTTGTTATAAAGGACGGATAAAGATCGCAATATGACACTATGAAATGTACTCTTAGACGTCTGCAGATATAAAACCGAAGTTTTTAATGTGTTAAGGATGTTCAAAATTATATAGCACCCTACCTAACAAACGTACAAGACTACACATATACAAAAACGATATACACATACATCTACTCAAACCAACACATAGTCCTAACCTTACCTACACAAGCCTGGAAGTGCCTGGCATGCGTGCGGTAACGTTAGCTTCATGTACAGTATTAATGGATTTTTCTCTAACCTATCTTCACCGGAACTGTTATTACATGCTTTTATTTAAATGTGCATGGTCTACATGATTATCACTGTGTCATATACTTTACATGGATTACTAGTTACATAGCAAAGAAAACTACTCAGCTTTTGATTATTCTAACTTACCTACTGTATAACGGCGGTGTCTCCCTAGCCATCTGTAATCACAGGTCCTGACCTTAGCTGTTTGGAGGACGTTATAACCCAAACAAACGTTTGACGGGGTTTTATAAAGTGCAGTATGGCAAACTCATCTGTTCTGTAATATTCTTTTCACGTAAATAAAGACATAATATATTCTGTATTCAACAATAGCGTTGTGGTATTGCCGTCGTTGTCTGTTAGGCTGCATTTCAGGGCGTTGTCGATTGCGTATCGACAAAATTTACATATTTAGGTACAACTAGCTGTTCAAACGGCATTTAAACATTTCTTACATTAAAAGAAACCATATGAAATATTTGAAGAATGCATTGAGCTGTGGTAGCTAAATGTAAAGTCAGTCAACTGTTGCTGTATTAAGATTATGTAGCTATTTGGTAGGACAGTTTCAGATAATATCAATTCTCAAGTTAATATGTCCAACCAAGGTGATACTGTGAGACTTGTTAAATACAATTTCATACCTTTAAAAAATATGAAAATCTAGAAGATATTCATAACATTATACAGTATGCTTTGAAGATCGATATCATAGTTAATACAGATTTCGTATTTTACACCACCCTTAAATTAAAGAAATCTATCGTAAAAAGCATGACAAACTGAAAATAGATTAACTCGTTAACAGATGTAACAATGACATTTATTTCTTTTTATGCATCTTCACAAACAATGAAATACATATATATATATATAAAACACTGACAAACGCGGCTGGACTATCGAACCAACTATCTTCACGTGTACTGTTCCCCTCAATGATCTTTCCAAGCTCACCTCCCCCTTATGAGCTTATATTTTTGACATCTGCTTTTAAATGGCTAACGTTTTGTGATATAATACAGTATGGCGATTAAGAAGGTGGTAGGAAACATTTTGTTTTTGTAATAATGTTATTTACTTCTCGATATATACAATACCTCGCAGTCGTTACATGTACATGTATCAGTAAGCAACGGGGACAAAGCCAACGCCCCTACATATGCTTGCAGTATCCTATTTACATCAGAGTTATCGGGATGCTTATTATATATGATTCGGCTAGTGTACAGGTAAAAATAACGTACTTCAATATATACACGATTCCTTCCGGTAGTGTACTTCACAAAAGTGTGATTTACAGACTTGACAGCAGGAGAGATTTTCCCCTCAATCTATGCTTTCTCTAGCGCGACATTAAAGGAGATTCACCTATTACGTGCAAACATAGACACATTATCACGTCAATGTTGTGTTTGACATGTGTGTACGATATTGTAATGTAGAGTCTATGTAATAAGTACATAATCTGTGCGATAACTAGGGGCAAGCGGTCCTTGAGTCAGACTTGGAAATGCAGGCCACCAGTATCATTTGAGGTGAATCTTTATCTCTCAAGTCAGGACCTGTGATAGCATTTCATTGGTGATATATTATTGTGTGTTCTAGCGGTTAATTAATCCTTACCGAAATGGAATTTTCTTAAACTGCCATAATACAAACGAATACATTCTTATACGTATTTTTTGAAAATTGATATGCATAAAGCTTAGTTTATCTGTCATTGAAACTCTTGTAAGAACTAGCATAGCGTTTGGTGTTTACAAATGCAGGCACTAACTGATATATTGCTGATATATCGAAAACAACCTAAAAACTTGTTTTCTCTTTTGCATGTATATATACCATATTTAATAAATACCATGTTAAAATATTCATTTAAAAAAGACCATATTGATCCCTTATCCTCATTAATGATTTGAAAATTTATCAATTTATATAGAAATATTGAAAAAAAAATATCACTAATGATCATATATAAATGTGCCCATAAGATATAATTGATTTCGTATTTATAATACAAGCTCATATATGCATGAATGCTACGCCTTGGCACTTAATCATAATAAGCAGAATGAATTATCTTATACCGGGTTTGTAGGAAAAGTAAAAATGTGTTTTAAGCACTCAAAAGTAATTGCATATGAATATCGATTCTGGTTTAACTTGAATGCTGTTATTCAGCTGATTAGTCTTAAAGGTTCATGGCAAAAATGTTCCAAGTCATTTAAACCCCCACCCCTAGCTCCACACCCCCAACCTTCAGCCTGCCTCTCCTTGATGCTGTTTAATCGTATTTGATATTGGTATCGTTTACCACGGTTTGGATACGACCCCTTACGTTTTCCATGCATGGTATCCGTCGCTCATGGTCTCGCCATCGCAGCAGCGATACGATGTGTTGTTGGATTCCCCCTCCCAAACAATCCTCCCGTTCGCATTAGCGGGCGACACAAGACCTCCAGTGCTACCCTTCCAAGGCAGCCCTGTTCGCTACGCACTCCAAGGGGCTAGGTGTGTCTAGACCGCAGTCTGGTGTTGCTTTCACGCCACGCTCCAAGGCCAAGGTAGGTATGTGCTAGGCTAAGAAGCGTTCCCATTCGAAATAATTTCAGCGTCTGCTCAATATGTCTCCTTTAACCGAGCCTGTGTCTTTGCTGCCAAATGTCTGGTTGTATTCCTCGGAGCCCATGGATTGTGAGAGTTTGGGTTCTACAGTTAATGGCGTTCGATCTGTCGTCTGGTTCGACGATCTCTGGTGAGAAGCTCATAAGGCAGAGAATGAGGTGGACGCTGAGGGCTCCCACCTTATTTCCTAGAGTCGAGGGCTTCGTGTGGACCCTTATCATCGGCGAGAAGGATCGCCCGCCTGCTTCGGCTGTTCCATGCAGTGATATTACGATATCAACAAAGAAAGTTCGAATTTGATATTAAAAAAAAAAAAATAAAAAAATTATTCCAACCCATTTAATTTTCCATATTTAATGATAAGCAAATACCTTTCCAAAATCAGTATGATTCAATGTGCGTGACCATTGACATATTTTCATTTTTGACATGTTTTTACGATGGCCGATATGGGCAGGCAGAAACGTATCAAAACTTTATATAAATCAGTCCGGTAGTTTCTGTAGTCATTAATTTGTTTACTTAAAAATGATCTTTTGATTTTCTGTAAAGTAATTGATCAATACACATGCATTTATCCTTGCAGTTATCCGTTTTGAAATATAATTTGACCACTGTTTGTGACCTAAAATTAAGTTTTATTGGTAAATTTCAGCACACTTTCTAACCGATATTTTATTCGATATAAAAAGGAATTGAATACAAGTGTGATGCTTTACCACGACTGTTCGTTCCTGCATACAGTAACGGTAGATTTAATCTTACGTCCTCTTACTAACGTCTACTGATGACTCTTTTTACGTATCAAAGTTGAGCAGGTACATGGACCCTGCTTAGTAAATGAAAACCTTCGTAAACGTTTAACCCGAGCATAATTGGTGCTTGTAAACACAAGAATAAAAATATTAAATATTTGAAGCCTAAAAGACTTATAGTTTGAGCTTATTACATTGAGCAATATTTTGCACCTACTGCCGATGAAGTTTCCTTAATTTAGAAAAAAAAGTATCTTTTTCGAGGGGAAAATATTACGTTATAAAGCGCAACATTGCAGAATACTACCATTTTGTGAAGGCGGTTCACTTAACTTTTGTCAAGGGAAAAAGGATGTTTATACGTTTGTCTATAGTGTGATGGATACTGCATTTATAAACAAATATACGTAATAGATCTACATGTCAGTTTAGTACATATAGTTTTAAGTTAGTTAACACTAAACATGGCGGCCTAATGTAACTTTTTTACTGGACTATGTGATCAAGGTGTAAGCATGGTAACCAAAGTGACTAGTATTACTGGACGTGTATCATAGGGTCACGTGGGGCGACCTTGTAACTGACACCTGTGTAAGCTATTTAAACATCTTCAGGTGTAAGTACAGTAAACGCAATTCAGCCAAACCGTAAACCACAGGAGATGTATCTACCTATCTGAAGAGGCGTAACCCTATCTGAACCGTAATGACGTCAATCAGATTTTAGTAACTGATTTTTAAACGATCTATGACGTAAATAGAAGTATTCATATGCAAAGCAAACAACATTCCCTAAACAAAATGCTTTGTTAGAGCGCCTGTAGCTAACCCACCGTTAAACTTCCTTATCCCTTATCTATTAGAAATGTAATAACTCAACTGAAAGTATTGTGTTTGTTAAATCGATATAATGGTTGCATTTCAGAAAGACGTTGTCGTTTAAATTATTTAAATTATTCAAACCTAATAAGACGCGCGGTAGATTCGTGTGAGATTGTGAAAGAAAAGAAGGTAACCATTACATGCTTTTCTGTAATAAGCTATCTTGTCATCAGTTTCGAAAACGATGAACAACTGTAAGATATTCTTCGTCAGAGCCTCAGGTGAAATTATGATATTATTTTAG